CAAGATACCCCCCTTCGAGACCCTTGGGCGGGCTGGGCTACAGGCGCAGACGCTTCTTCAGACCTCGGCGCGTGGGGGCGCAGAGATGCTCGCGGCGGCCCGGGGGAACTTCGCTGTGACTTGCCAGTGGGGCAACGCCGAAAGCGACCGCAAAGCTTGCCTGCTCGCCCTTGCAAGGGCCGCCCTGCGGGGGGTCTGGCGCCGAAGGCGCGGGCGCTGGGCCGGCGGCCCGCCGCGCCCGGCCGGCGCAAGACGGGGCGCTGGCCAGCGGCGGCCTTTCACCGTTTAAGCGCCGAGCGGGCTCGGCCAGCTGCTGGCCGCCCTCCCCCCTCTTTTCTCCGCGCCGCTCCGCTGCCGAGTATTGTTTTCCTCGAGCCCCCGCCCCTGGCCCCTGGCCCCCCCCCTCTACCTCCCCCGCCGCTTGTCTCTGGCGGGCGCGCGAGCGCGCTCGCCAGCTGCGCTGGCTCGGGCGCGCGGTGGCAGAAGTGGCCGGCGAGCCGCGTCGTGTCTCGCTGGCCCAACCCGCCTCTGCCCGAGTCGGTCCTGCGCGGTTGTCTCCAGGACTTTTTCGCCCCCTGCTGCCGCTTGCTGGACCGCCTCTGTTCCCTTTTTTGTTCGTGCAGGAGGAGGAGGGGAGGGAGGCGGAGGGCGAGGACGAGGACGAGGAAGAGCAGGAGGAGGAGGAGGAGGAGGAGGACGAGGAGGAGGTTGAGGTCAGGAGCCGGAGGAGAAAACCTGGGCTCGCCGTGCTGGTTTACTTTTTCTTCGCGCTCGTGGAGGCGATTAACAGGATGGTGGCTTGTGGCGCGGCGCAGACATGGCCACCTGTCCCAGGAGGAGGAGGCGGAGTACTAAGGAGGAGGAGGAGGAGGAGGAGGAGGAGGAGGAGGAGCAGGAGGACGAATGTGAAGGAGAAACCAAAACCTGATAATCACCGGGCGGGAGTGGGAGGACCAGGCAGGATTGGCAAAAGGGGTGAGGATGCGGGATGAGCAGTGGTGATCACGATTGTGCTGGTTGCCACGATGAAAAAGAGAATGGGGGGGATGGTGGGTCCAACGTAGTGGTTGGGCGGGTGCGGGGGAGGTAAGATGAAGAGGATGAGAGGTGGAGGAAGTGGAAGGTGGTCGGGCGGAGGAGGAAAACGAACACAACAGCAAACCATAGACATAACGATGGACTGAGGGGGGGGAGGGGCGGGGGAAATTGGTGTGTGGAGGAAGATGAGGCAAGTAAACCATTCGGATGAAGGCCGCGAATGGCAGGGAGGAGGGGTCGTGAGCGCGCCGGAGGAGAATGAAGGCAGGAGGGAAGATTCGGAAAGAAGAGGAACGGCAAAACGGGAACATCAATTCGCGGGGATGCAGTTTCCAGAGCGCCGACTACCGATGCTGAGGAGTAGCAGGAGGAGAGACACGGGGAAGTGGAGGACGCGGGGGAGGAAAAGGAAAAGGTGGCGGAGGCGGCAGATTAAGCGTGGGGGCGGCTTTCGGGGTGAAGAGGAGGAGGAGGAGCAGCAGCAGGAAAAAGAGGGATGCGACCTAGGAGTGGGAGGAGTGCCGTGGATATGGGGAAAAAACATGGGGGAGGGGGGGATTGGACGGAGAGCAGGGAAGAGGATGAACAGACGGATGCGGCGATGGAGGAGGAGGGGAAAATGAATGAGGAGGAGGAAAAGGAGGAGGATAAGTTGTGTAAACCCAAGAGTTGTCAACGATGTTGGAGTAAACATGTGCCCGAAACTTCCTACACACGCCCCTGGAGGGATTCAACTTGAGTGGGGGAAGTGCCCGTTGGGAGACAACTGCTCGATGATCCTGAAGCGTGCCGAAGCACGCTTTCGTACATGATTACAGCGCCACGGATCAATGTGACGTGCTGCGTCTGGACGATCCTGAGTCACGTAATTGCGCGTCTCATGTCAATTCAACACCGCCAACTAAAGTAATTGTCGCGCCAGGAAAATCCTGAACCGTTGCACAGCACCGTTGCTGACACGTCAGCCATGGGAATATGTGGAACTCTGTGCATTTTGTTAAGAGCGCTAAGGCGAGGGCATCATGTTGAAAACGACCTGGTCGCAATCTGCGAAGTTGCAACAATGTTTACAACGATTGCGCGCGGACTTGGGACGAGAGCCACATTTGGAACACCGCTCGCCCTCAATCCATGGGGCTGTTGCGAATGTTTAAGACGAATGCGCGCGGCGCTAAGGCGAGAACCACATTTTGAGAAGGAACCGACCTTAACACGTGAGATGGATTCTCGCGAATTTTCCAGACGAGTGCCCGAGCGGCTGAGGCTAGAACCGCATTTTGAAAACCGCCCGCCCTCAACCCGTGAATCTCTTACATTGGTTTCATCGAATGTACGCGGCGCCAGAGCAAATTACCACATGTTGGAAGCGGGCCGCCCTCCATATGTGAGGTCATGTTCAATGTTTAAGATTCAGGATCGTAACTGGAGAGGGGATTTCCGGCGAAATGCCAGGCCCGCCCTTACGACGGGCTTCGGAGTACGACAAAAAGGTGTTACTTGCAAGGAAAAAGACTGGTGGAGGACGAGGAGGAAGAGGAGGAGCAGGAGGAGTAGCAGGAGGACCTGTGTAAACCCAAAACCTACCAACGATGTTGAAATACACCCTCCTTCGAAGATCCCTTCTTCATAGGACCCTTTCAAGAGATCATGTCCACTGAAGGGTTTGCCCCGTTGTGGGACAAGCGTTTCATCATCTTGAAGCGTGCCAAACCTTCACTCTCAGTATTTCAACGCCACACGAATTACCTGACTGTTACGTATTGGCCACCATGATTCGTGCCAGGACATCACTCCTGGGACTTCATCACAGCGAATATACGTAAGTGTTGGGCCCTGACAACCCTGAGCCGCTCCAAAACATGTTTCCTGATACGCTGATCATGACAAACCGTAATCCGTTCAAATGTTTGCAACAGATGTGCGCGGCAACAAAGCGGGAAAGAGGCGCCCTCAATCCGCGAAGCGTCGCATTTTTTGTCCACCGGATGTGCGCGGCGCTCGGGCAATTACCACATGTTGAAAACCACCCGCCCTCAATCCGTGAAGCTCGTGCAAACTGTTTAAGCGAATGCACGCGGCGCGTAAGCGAAAGCCACATTTTGAAAACGACCCGCCCTCAATCTGCGACATCCCCGCACATTGTTAGAACGAATGCGCGCGGCGCTCAGGCGTAAGGCACATTTTGAAAACAACCCGCCCTCAATCCGTGAAGCACTTGCGCATGTTTGGAACGAATGCGCGCGGCGCTAAGGAGAGAACCACATTTCAAGCACGACCCGCCCTCAATCCGTATAGCCCTTGCACATTTTTAGAGCGAATGTGCGCGGCGCTAAAGGGAGAGCCAAATTTTGAAAACCACCCGCCTTCAATACATGAAGCCCTTGCGAATTGTCAAAACGAAGCCAAAACGAATGTGTGCGGCGCTAAGGCGAGACCCGCATTTTGAAAACCACCCGCCCTCAATTTGTGTAACCATTGTAATTCTTCAGCATCAGATCGTAAATTGTCAGAAAGTCTCAGGCGGAACGCCCAGCCCGCATGTTCGACAGGCCTCGGGGTGCGACAGGGAGGAGTTATCTTTAAGGATAAGGAATGTAGGAGGAAGAGGAGGAGGAGAACGAAGAGGAGGATGAGGAGCAGGAGCAGGAGCAGGAGCAGGACGAGGAGGGGGAGGAGGAGGAGGAGGAAGGGGAGGATAAGGAGGAAGAGGACGAGGCGGAGGAGGTGGATACCGACGACGGCGGAGGCGGGGGCGAATGCGGAGGCGGCAGCGGCGGCGACGGCGTCGGCGGCGGCCATGAAAGGCGGCCGGCGTCTCGCAAGCCCGCCGCTTGCGCAGCGGTGCGCTGCCCTTGCGCGTGCGCCCGCGCGCGCGGGCCGCGCCGCGCCTCGCGCGGGCATGACCGCCTGGGCCTTGGCGGCCCTGCGAGGCTCCCGCAGGCGCGGCTCCGCGGCGTGTCGGGGCGCGGCGGTCATCGCCGCCGACGTCGTCGTCGTCGCCGTCGTCGTCTTGGTGTTGGGCGGGCCTCAGAAACGGCACGGCCGTTTTGTGGCCGTTTCCATGCTTGTTTCCCGTTTCGTCACCGTTTGTGTGCCCGTGCACGTAGCATTAGTTTCTCAAGTTCCTTTCGGGTGCAATGTTGTGTTCCCCACATGTTATGCAAGGGTTGTTTTGTTTTTTCTGGACGTTTCGCGTAGCCCCACCAGCCCATCCAGAAACGATGCGCAGGCGAGTTGCCTTGATCAGTGATGTGAAAGAGCACACAGTGGAATAAAGGGCTGGGGAAGCCGCCATAACCCAAGAGGGGGGGGATGGAGGAGGAATCGGAAGAGGGGGAGGAGGGGAGGGGGAGGAGCAGGAGGAGGAGGAGGTGGAGGAGGAGGAGGGGAGGGGGAGGGGCAGAAGGGATGAGGGAGGAGGACGAGGAGGCACAGACGAGGAGGGGATCCAGAATGGCCAGAGGCCTTTGGGGTGCTTCTCGGAGTCTCTTCGGTTGTCTCTTGGGAGCTTCTCGGGGTCCTCTTGAGGCGTCTCGGGAGCTTCTTGGCGGTCCCGAAGGCCTCTTGGAGCGTCGTGCGTTCCTCGGGAGAGCCTCCTGGGGCCTCCTGGGGTCTCTTGGGAGCCTCTTGGGGACCTCTTGTGGGCATCTTGAGCCTCTTTGGCGGCGCGGTCGTGGCGGCCATGCAGTGCGCGGACCAAAATCAGAAGGCTGCATGCGCGGCTGTGGCGGCTGCAGCGCATGGTGGTGTCCAAGGCCTGGGGGATGGCGACGGCAAAGAGGCGGCATCTCAGGAGTGCATGGGGAGCCTGGGCGAGGCTCTTCTCAGCCTGCGGGTGATCGTGGGCGTAGAGGTGCCGCCGAAGGTGGAGGACGCGAAACGGTGGCTGCGGGACCGCGGCGGTGCGCATACCCCGGCCGCCCTGGCTGCCCTGGGCAACCTGTCTGCGGCTCGTAACCTTGATGCGCACGAGGCGGTCAAGATCATCCTCGCGGATGCCGTGCACCTGGCCTGCCCCCGGCAGGGGGACCGGCTTCATGGGCGAGGACGAGCTGGTCGGCGAGCACAAGTTGCGGCAGAATGGCAACAGCCAGAACGAGACCAAGGTCGTGGAGCTCGCGGCTACCATCAGTCAGAAGGACCTGCAGCTAGCAGGGGCCGAAGAGGCCATAAAGCAGCACGGCAAGCAAATAAAGACTCGAGGCAGTCAGCTAAAGCAGGTCACGACTACCAGGGGTAAGTACGCCGAGCGCATTGCGTTTCAGAATCACGAGAACCAGACGGGACAGGTGGAGGTCCGCACAGTTGACGCCATGTGTAAGTTGCGGGCGAAGCTGGCCACTTTGAAGGAATAAGAGGCGAGCAGCGACAGGATGGCGGACGTGCTCGCGGAGAGGGATCCTGTAATTTTCCACGGCCATCTCCCCGAGCGGCGGATGCAGAATTTGTTGAAGGAAGGCAGCGCTGGAGGCCCCAGCGAGAACAACAAGAAATGCTCGACCAAGCCAAAATGCAACGGGTGAGCGCGCTGGGGCCACCGCTGGCGGCGGCCTGAATGGGGGCAGGCTGTTTTGGTGGCTGTGTTTTGCATTTTCGGCTTGTGCCTGTAAAGCTGAGGGGAGAGCCGAAGTGTCGTCGTCTCCAGAAGGATTTGGAGAAAGACCCTTGTGGTCAGGTCGCGGGAATGCGGCAGCCGTTCCTTGTGGCGGGATCCTTCGGGGGCATTGGCCATGGCAACAACCAAATTTGGGCGCATCTTCGGGCAGCGATGAGTGTTATTTTGGGGCTATCTCGGAGGAGGTCGATCAACGAATGGGGCGTACTCAATCCCCCCCACAAGGAGGCCAACATGGGCCCAAAACGGGCGTACAAACAATGAGTGTTGCTCTTTAGCCGATGCCCTCTTTGATTTTCCACTGGGTCGCGGGGTGCCCCGTCCAGGTCTAGGGGAGGGAATACGAGGTGGGGTAAACCACTCTCCGGAGGGGAAGAGAGGCGGGCAGGAAGAGGAAGCTCCCTAAATCACTCACGCCAGGACGGCTGGTAGGATTGGCGCCTCCCTCCCCCCTTTTATTGTCGCTTCCCTCTTCACCTCACAGACAGCTCACCCTCGCTCAGACGCAAACCCATTCATGCCCAGGCCGCCATCACGCAACTCAGACTCAACTGAACCATCTGCAGACACATACGCGCATAGCATTCACAACATGATCACTCACATTCAGACCCACGCACGCATTCTCAGCCTCACACTCAGACCGATCCACACTCTGCCACCAATACTCGTACCCATTCGTACTCGTTCCTCAGACACAGGCGTCCCGCCGATCGCTGCGATATAGCAGGCATGGCGCTTTGGCAGCCCACGGAGGAGTCGCAAAGTGCGGTTGCGCTGGCACCTTCGTGGCCAAATCGGGGGACGTTTTAGGCGGATTGCTGTTTTCCGGGCCCAGACTCTTCTTTATTGGCAGCCCCATTTTCGCCGCAATGATGCATTCGCAGCACGCGGACATCCCAAGAAGGAACCGCCAGGGGGCGGTTGCACTAGACACTAGACTGTTCGGTGCCGGGTCCGGGGCATGCCTCAAGGGCTTTTTGCTTCCGAGGTCATACCCGTCAAGTGAGATCCCCATGCTCGCGCATTTGCGGCAACATTGTGTGGGACGTCTCGGGCGGGTGCCTGTTTCAGTAATCAAACATGTTTCGTTTTAGGGCCCCGTGCTCGCCGCGACACTGCAGTACAGCAGGCGCGTCACTTGGGCATGCCAAAAAGGGGCCGCCAGGGGCGGTTGCACTGGGACGTCTGCGGCCATATTGAGGGGATGTTGTAGGCAGTGTGCTTATTTCGGCGCCTCGGAGTTGTCTCATTTGGGAGCCCTATGCGCGCCGCGATTAGCAGGCGTGGCCATTGGGGCAACCCAAAGGGGAATTGACGATGCTGGATGATACGCCGCTTCGGTCTGGGCCACCATCACCACCAGAGTGCCGCGGCGACGCACAACACAGCATGCGGACCTCCACAGCAGCCAGAGGCCCAGTGCTTTCGACAGCACAAACAACGAGACCCACACACGACCACAGCGACGGCGCAGACAACAACCCACTCCATCGCGAAACATTGGTCACGCCCGACATTCGCAGCGGTAGCGGCAAAAGTAACACAGTTGCAGACCCGTGGGGATGGGTCGGATACATTCAGTTAGCGATATGGCAAGCAAGTCGCATCATGGAAACTCCACCGCGCCGATAGATGGTACGCAAGCGAAAAGTATGGCGCATGACTTCAAGAGCCGCAAACCCCGACCGAGAAAGGTGGACATGATGAGTGCTGCGCTTGTATCCAGACCTGGATTGACGCCAGCAGGGGCAGAGGCAGCACGGTGGCCAACGTAAGCGGTGGGACGACGAAGTCAACGCATAGTTACGCCAACGCAGCCCATACCTGAACCGACCATCCACGCACATTTTCGAGAGGACAACCAAACAACCTCACATGCAAAGAGACCAATATACCGAAACACGGACAGATGCCAATATACCGCAACACGGACGGCGTTCGGGCATCACATCACCGACCTCACACCGGCGAACACAAAGAACCAAGACCTATAAAGTGAACGTCCAGAGAGAGAGAGAGAGTCGAGAGGACACGCCCAGCCCGCGCCGACACCGACACCAAAGACTTCCCCTGCTTCCTTCTCTTCCCCCTCTTCTCCAACTTGCTTGCGTGTCTCGCACTGTATGTATCCAGGCAGCGTAGATTCTCGTGGCCGCGGCCCCACCCACCTGCCCTGAGCGTGTCCCGGACACTGTCCGCAACGGTGGTCGCATCGCATCGCATCATCACCATCCGGTCCACCAACACAATCGGCAGTTGACAGTACCACGCGCTGGTTGTTTTGTTATGTGGCTGGCATCCTCATAGTCAATTTCAGTTGTCCTCGTACTCGGCCACTTCCAGGTCCATGCACACATTCGCAACCAAACTCACTTACGTTCTGATTCTCCACGCTAAGACCATTCACGCCGATATAATATCAATGCGTAACATCTAGGCACCCCAAAGAGGGAACCGCAATGGGGTGTTGTATTTGCCCGTTCGCGGCAAGATTGCTAGGACTTCCGAATCGATAGCTTGGGCACCTCCAATTCGTTTGCCTTATAAGAGCCCCATGACCACCGCGACGCCGCAGGCACATCATTTGGACACCCTAAGGCCCAAGGGGGAGCCGCCAGGGAACGCTCAGTCGCTCGTCATTTCGACACTCAGAACTAGACGTGCCAGGAATTGAGATGCACATATGGGGATCCGGCGTCGAATGATGCAGTTCCGGTGAGCTGCTTTTCTCCCGCTTTCATAATCGAGTGCCAGTTTTGTGGGGAAACGGTAGAGGAGGGGCCCTGTCAGTTTTAAGACCTTATGAGCGTGATTTTCGCTGATGCCGCCGTCATCTCCGCCGCCGTCGCCAGGAGGTGGATGAGGATGGGTGGGGCATGGGTGGGTGTGGAGGCGGAGGCGGACGGAGGAGGGAAAAGAGGGTGAGCATGTGAGGGAGGAGTGGGGTGAGGTCCAGTACCCTTGGAGGGACGAGGTCCGGGCAGACAGATGGGGGGAGGGGAATTGGGCAAGTGTGGCGCCAGATGCGCCGCCTGGGGGGTCAGCGCCCATTCAGGAAGTCCGCGCGAACCTCTTGCAGTGTATGCCTATGCAGTCTTCCTGTGATATTATTATCGTTCACAAGGGTGCTTACGATTGTCAGAGTGATTGGTATTGTCATAATAACCAGTGTGATCATATGTATGAATAGTGCTAGTGCTTCTTGTTATCACGTTTGTCTCAGTGATTGGCATTCATATTTTTAGTGTTGCTTTCAGTGTGATATGTACTATTGTTAGAGTTATCAGTGTTGTATCAGTATTAACACTACTACGGGAAGTATGAGTATCATCGATCGCAGAAGTATTAACATGTGTGTACATCTTGTCGTTCTGGTGTGCTATTGGGAAGACCTCACTGCGAATGCCGCCGACCCTGAACGGGGACGACGACTGCGACGGCGACATCGGCGGCAACGACGACGCTGACGTGGGCAGAGTCCTCAGTGATGCGTCGGCGGGCCTCCTCGGAACGCGCTCGTGGGCCCCTGGGAGGGCAGTTTGTGGGCCTCTTGGGAACCTCTTGGAGGCCTCTTGGGAGCCTCTTGGGGGGTCCTTTCGGGCTTCCTGGGGGCCTTTGGGGGCCTCATGCCTCCTAGGGGCCTCTTGGAGCCTCCTGGGAGCTTCTCGGGGCCGAGGGCTGGAAATGTTCGTTCGGGCTCCCGTGTGGGCACCCTCCTGGAGCCGTTCTGGGAGCTTCTTGGGCCGTCTGGGAGGCTTTTAGGGGCCATCTTGGGGCCCTCTTGGGTCGTTCAGGGGCCGTTTTGCAAAACTCTTGGGGGTCTTGTGCCGACCTTGGTGGCATCTTGGGCCGTCTTGGAGCGTCGGGAAGCCGGAAAGGCGAGAACGCCAGAACCTTTCAAAGGCCCTCGAGAAAATGATGTCATGTTGCCTGTTGGGGTACTCTTGGAGGCCTCCTCGAGCGTCGTGGAAGCCGCTTGGACTGTCAGGGGACAGTCGCTGGCGTCTTGGACCGATTGTTCAGTGATTCGGGGGCCCCTTGGACTGTCTTGGGGGCCTCTTGGGGTGTCTTGGAGCCCTTTTGGGCCCCAGGACCCCCAGGGGGAGGATAGGTTCTGACTGGGGACCACCCCCAGGACCTCTCCCGAGACCCCTCCCAGGCCCCACCTCAGGACCCCACCGGGCCGGGACCCCCTCCAGGACCCCTCCCAGGACCTCCCCTCGCCCAGGGGGGAAGTGATCAAAGGGAAGGGGCTTCCCTTCGTCTCAACTACGACGTTGCTCACTTTCGTTTTGGGTTCGCTTTGGCCGGCTCGATTGAGGAGCAGGGCCCGGTGAAAGGGGGGTGCAGCGACGGGCCCAGGGAATCGGGGGTCAAACGCGACAAGGACGACGACGACAAGGACGACGACGACAAGGACGACGACAAGGACGATGACGACGACGACGACGACGACGACGACGACGACGACGACGACGACGACAAGGACGACGACGACGACGACGACAACGGCGACGACGGCGACGACGACGACGACGACGACGTCGAGTCAAACAGAACAGCGTCTCCCACATGTCGACAGGATCGGCGGATTATAATGAGTTTTGATATTCACCTGGCTTGCATGGCCCCCAGGAGCAGGGCGCTGGGCCCAGTGTAAAAAGCACAGTTTGTTGGCTTTACTCTGGCTGGAATGGCCATCCCCCCGAAGGATGACAAACAATCTAGGATCGGCGG